TTTTCCTTTGGGAAGGTACCATCTGTGCAGTCTGCAATTCTGTTGAAGAAAGATGTTGAATCTATTTAATTATTCTTAAAAAATAATTTCTTTCTGTGCATTTTGTTTCACACTGCATCAACTTAAAGTTGATTACGTCGATTAAGCATCATGAGGTGGAGGGTGGGGGGTGGTTCCCTATTTTTATTTTTTTTGCTGGGAGTTTGCAACCCTATTAGTTAGGTTGCTTAATATTTCCACTAAGTACTCTTTAAAATACCAGAATAGGGAGGATGGAGTAGGTTTAAGTTTATTAGATTGATCAGTGTTGCTGAACTATGAAATATTTTGGGTGCACTGTATTTTTTGTATACAGGTATAACAGAATAGCTTTAGTGTTTGTTTTTTTAACTTGAGTTTGAACTTATACAAAATGCAGCAAGATAAAAAAAAACAAAACAGTTTTATTTATTAAAAAACACACTATATCGGATTCATATCGGCAGATATCCAAATTTATGATATCGGTATCGGACATAAAAAAGTGCTATCGTGCCATCTCTACTAGAATGTGAATGGCAATCATAAAGCAATAATGATCAATATTAACAGTGACTATAACTTATATAAACTCATGCAAACACTAATCTTTCAATCCCACAACATTTTAAATGGTGTTTTCTGAGATGATTTGATATCAGGGAGGTATCTAATAAGACTCAACAGTATGACTGAGACTGGTCTCAAAAGTGTAAATTAAATGTAAATTTACAGTTTTTATTTATGCATCTTAAAATTTCAAAACTTCTAGATAATGACATAAAAAACCAAAATTATCTATCTTCATTTATTTATTTTTTAATTTTAAATTTGAAGATTCAAAGTGTCTCCGCTTTTTGAATTATTGGGGTTTAGAAATGATGCAACTGAATAAATACTACTATTATTGCTAAACTGTAGCAAGTTTGTGAATGCTTAAACTTACGGTAAAAAACTATGTTTTCAAGAATCTGTCAATTGATCGCAAACGTGTTAACACTGTGAATCAAAGATAACAAGCACTGAGAATAATTCACAATCTGAAACTGATTGCATCATTGCTCTGCTGTTTTTGTATAGTCGCCTTAAGGGGATTTACATTGTAAGGTAAAGACCCTACAATAACAGAGAGACCCCATCAATCCAGTGACCCCCATGACCAAGGCCTTGGCAGGAGTGGGAAGGAAAATTCCCGGTTTACAGGAAGAAACTTCCAGTAGAACAAGGCTCAGGGAGGGGCACCTATCTGTTGCTGTGGTTAGGGTGGAGGGTAGGCAGACAGGACAAAAGACACACTGCAGAAGAGAAACTAATGATTAAATGTGGAGTGGTGTATAAACACACAGCGAGTGAAAAAAGGGGAATGAAGAAGAAATGTCCAATGCATCGTGTACACTTGAACATTTGGATTGAAGAAGCCTGGCATCAAACTGCTAACCTTCTGCTAAGATGACCAGCTTGACTCCCAGTAGTCCCGATAACCCTGAGCTGTTTCCTATTTACTTTTTATATGAAACACGGCCAGATGAGCTTGTTTCTACCTCTACCTGTCCTTCAGTTCTGTCCTTCAGCTCCACAGCTCATGGCTGCTTGCAGTTTTTCCAACGACAGTCAAAAAGACAACCTGTTTTTTTCCTCTATTACCCAGGTGTTCTCAGTAGATCTCCAAGTCAAAGATTAATTAGTCTCTTTGATTATTGTGTGGAAATGAGGAAGCTGCTTTTTTTTTTTTTTAGCATTCATACATTTAACATTTTGTTTATTTTGCACAAATTTAATCAGAAAAATGTTACACCAGAAGTTTGATATGTTTTATAATGAGTCCATGCTCTATAGATCTGTTAAACCAACTTTTAGAGGAAATTTTTGTTTTTAAATTGAAGACTATAAATATTAAAAATCGTGGCTATTAGTAGTTCAGTATATAATAAAATATTGTGTAAAATGTTGGAATTTAAACTGGCTCCAGTGGCATTTACTGGCTATTAATAAAGACAGCATAAATATGACACTGTACAGTATACTCAAAAAATATAAATGCATTGGTAAAACACAAACAGCCCTCTTAAAAATTATAGGAGATTCAGAAATGTCTGGAAAACTCCTGAACACATCCACTGATCAATGTTTACACGCAATGCACAATTGCCGATAATCGGAGTCACATCTGGATGATGTGTTGTGTCTGGGACAGGATGGCACAGCTGCTTTAAAAGACATGCAGGCCAGTGGATCCAGCTGCTTCTGTGATGGATGCAACATCTAAAAAAACATCTGGTTTGACAAGCTCCTTACACAAACACTTTAGGGTTAAAGGTCACAATAAGAAAAGAGGTTCCAGAGCGTTGGATTTGGGTGTTAAAAACACAACAAATATAAAAATATCTACAGTATTAAAGTGGCCTTCAGCTCTCATACAGGGCGGCATGAGTGATGGAGATCAGTCATCTGTGTGTTTTTTTCTAATTGTGATCTTAATTAGGCATGTAAACTTCTTATCAGTGAAAAGAAAAAGACACATTTCTAATTTTAACCCTGTAACACCAAGTGAAATGTATTTGATACACGAGGTTTTTGCCAGTTTTGAGACAGCTACGTCATTTTATGTTTTTTTTTCCTGAATAACTTACACAAAAATGCCAGGTGTAGCAAAACAATTGTCACTCCAGTTTTTGGCAATTGTATCATGGTTCAGGCTTTACACATTGTTAAAAGATTAATAAAAATGATTATTGTTTCTTTTTTCCTTCTTTTCCTTTTTTTAAGCTGAGTGTTTGAACTTAAAACAGACAACTATCATCCAGCTAGGGTTTCTTTGTGTCAGCTGGCTGGGATTTCTGCTTCAGGCTAAAAAACAAAGAGGGCGTTTCACAGGCTACCTGACTCTTCTTCCACACAAAATGATCCCTGTAAGCGCCACCTACTCTAATCAGAAACAATATCAGACGATGATAAAATGGTGACTAAAAATAAAGAACATATGAGAAAAATAAAGACCATAAAAAATATAAGGCAAAGCTGTTGTAAATAAGAGAAGACATTAATGCTGCAGTTAATATGTTTATTTTAATGCTGAGCGCTCTCTCTGTGCCTCGCTGCACATTAGAGCTCTGAAACATTAATGATGACCAGACTTTAACAAACCATCAGGAAGCATTAAAAACAAAGCTGTATCTAAAACACCTGTTATATTACTTCCGAATGTGAGAAATGCCTTTTGGTAACAGATGCTGACGAACTAATGTGTCTACATGGTGCATTTTGACATTTTAGGTTTAATATCAATACGTGTGATTTGTCCTAAATAAAACTAAAAGTCCAAAGTGGTTACTTCATAATGTTATTGATTAAATTTCACATGCAACCCCACATACGTGTAAGTGAAAATCCCAATCAGCAGAAGTAGTAGACTGTCTTACAAATGATTCCAGCACATGTGCTTCACTGGCTGACCTCTCACCTGCCTTTAGCAAGCTACGATCCAATACCTTAATTAATAGGCTCTAAAAGCTGAGCAGTCATCACGAGAGCCAAATGTCAGCTCAATTATAACTCAAATATACTGGATAACTTGGTCTTAAAGAGACAAAAAAGCTTACCATACATGGAAAAATAACAAATGCAGGGGGCATCAGCCACACAGAATAATTTATAATGTCAGAAAGAAATGAAAAGTGTTTTTAAGACCATTTGCATCATTTGTCATTTCTGGAAACGATCTAGTTTCGCTTGTTCTGCTAACACGAAAATTAACACAACTTTGCGTTGTAGGAGATGGATGGTCAGTGTACCCGCACATTAAATGTGAGCAATGTTGCAGCAAACTACACGGCGAAAACACTGATCGTAAAGCATCAGTCCAGCCTCCTCGTGTGAAAATTACAGTACTTGAAGTCAGCTGTAAGCCCAATTACAGAGTGTGCTGTCTTTTACAGGAGCCTAATTACAGAGCGATCAAGATCAAGGCCGTTTCTAGTCTGATGTAGGTCACTTTCAACACGATTAAAATATTATTAACATTTCTCAGTTCGTGCATTTGTCTAAATTTGATGTCTTTTCAGGGAATTTAGCTGCTAAAAGTGCCAACTTAAATGTATTTGAACATGCCACCGCTACTGTAAGCATAGGCGCCACAATTGCTGTGGTAAACGTGAGAATTAATAGTGCGCACACTCACTTTAAAGAAAAAGA